GTGGAGCTGCCCCCTGCTGGCTGTCAGAGAGAATGCAGGTTCAACAAACTGTCCGTTATATAAACTGTCGGTGGTCAGTACTCACAGGTCTCAAAGTATCAGGGATAGGGTACAACAGTATGGAGACGCAGCGTGTGAACGATTTTTTGTTGTGTCACAAATCATCCGTAGTTCATAAGAGAAAAATCCTCTCTCAGTCTTTGTGTTTAATAAAGTCACAAGAAGAACACAGCCCTCATTTTAAGGTGTTGTTTTGTGAAAGTGAAACCAACGTGGTACCAAATGCAGCACTGCCGTGTGGCTCACTGCGCGTCCGATGTGTTTCATTCAGGTTGATGGAGGAATTTTTCTGTACAAAAAGATTATTAAAAGGAAAAGTTACTAAAAACATTTATTCAATGTGTTTGTTGTGAAAGATATCTGTCAATTAAAATTAGTAGAATTAGACAAGTACTTTTTACTGTTAATTGTCACTAACTTCACATAATTGTAGAATTGTATTAACAGTATTAAAGTATTTTTTTTTTGGCCTTTTATGCCTTTATTTGATAGATATAGAGAGAGACAGGAAAGGGTGACAGAGAGAGAGGGGACAACATGCAGCAGGTCGGACTCAAACCCGGGCCACTGCATATATGGGTCGCCAGCTCTACCGACTGAGCTAACCAGGCGCCCTGTATACAGTATTAAACTTGAATTTAACAGTTTATTCTATTACATAAACAATAACTACCTGCGAATAAATTATAGATTTGCAAATGTAATTCTTTATATGTGAAAAAAAAGAAAATTGTCTTTAATTATGCAGTTACAGATTTTCACATTATTTTAAATTAGATATGTTAATTCACAGGATATTTTGTGATAAATTGTAAAACAGATTTATTTTACAGTTTAATATTGTGATATTTTTAGGGACAACCTGTTTGTATGTAAAATCTTGTGTGTACAGAAAATAAACTTCTTAAGTAAAGTAGCTCAGATTTGGGTAAATGTACCGAGTTACATTCCATATTAGATTACAGGACGTTAATAAAATGTAGATAAACTCCTGGAGAACCACAGTCCCTGTGGTCACTGAACGCCACCTGTATTGCTGAGTGCAGATAACTGAGGTGGAATTTATCCATATTGATGTTGCACTAATAGAGTATTCATTACTCATTAGCAGCAGTCAAGCTGTCAAATCAATGAGACCTTTTGCTTTAGGAAGCCGCCGGAGCCAAAGCAAAGCGCTTGTTTAACAGCAGCCGGAAGATAAAATCTGAGCTATAAATCTGAGACTGAGAGAGTCTATAGCTCACAACGCCATTACTTACTTTCACTGCGCAGTGAAGCTTTACAGTGTATGAGACACACAGGAAACACTTTCCTTTTAGACCATTTTACAGACTTAGATCTTTTCCTTAAAACACTGTGAACCAGAACTTTTTCAGAGTTTTCTGTTAGAAATGTTCAGTCCGGGTCTCCAACTGTTACACTGACAGATGCTGACCTGCATATGTTGGACAATAAGCATCATTAGCATTAATAATCAGCTTTATGGACAATATCTCAGCAGCTGATTGGATGATTTGGATAATCAGGGAGGTTTTGGGTTATTGAGGACGCTGAATCCATTTCTGACATTTTTAAAATACAAAATGGACGTTTAAACCAGAAGTGTAAATATTTCAACTCCCAGTGGGCTGATTGTGAATGATTTCAAGGTTATTGATAGGATTAATACATTGTATGTAAATGTAAAGCATTTTGTCATTGACCTGTGTCTCTGCCGCTGCGGTTAATAATCAACTTATTAATCAAAATAAAACCAAACTGATAATTAAAATAAACACTTGAACAAACATCAGCGTGATAAGAATAAGTATAAGTAATAATTAATTTTAAATACATTAAACACATTAAACGATGTTCAAATACTTGGTTTGGTGTGTTAGCATGCAACACAACATTTGCTAATAAACAAAATTAGAGCTGAGGGGCTGATTGAAATTCACAAGTCTTCCAGTCATGGAAACTCCTGGAAATTAATTAAAAAGACCAAATATTCTGTAAATGTTTACTGTTTTTTTTTAAAACTTATGTTTTGTTTTGAGAAAAAATGTTGCCAAGTTCGCCACAAAAGCAAGCTAACACAGACTGTCCTGGAAATACATTTCTTAAAAAGAGTATTAGACACATTAAAGTGTTGACCTGATGATGGCACTAGATAAAGTCAGACGGACGTGAATGTCTGAACCAAAATCCGTCCAATAGTAGTTGAGATATTTCAGTCTCAACCACAAGTTGCTATACCTTTAGACTTTGCTAATTTCACTACATTCCCTGAATTATTCCCTGAGATGAAGATGTTTTCTAACCGCTGTCTGTCATGCTCTCTCTGTAGATCGAGGACATGCAGTGGCCTCGAGGCGAGCAGGACATTCCCAGCTCCGTGTGCAGCCTTCCCTGTAAAACCGGCGAGAGGAAGAAGGTGGTGAAGGGCATGCCGTGCTGCTGGCACTGCGAGCCCTGCGACGGCTACCAGTACCAGTTCGACGAGTTCAGCTGCAAGCTCTGCTCCTACAACATGAGGCCCAACGCCAACCGCACGGTGTGCCAGCCCATACCCATCATCAAACTGGAGTGGCACTCGCCCTGGGCAGTGATCCCAGTTTTCCTGGCAATGCTCGGGATCATCGCCACAATCTTCGTCATGGCTACGTTCATCCGCTACAACGATACGCCAATTGTCCGAGCGTCCGGCCGGGAGCTGAGCTACGTCCTGCTCACTGGGATATTTTTATGTTACATCATCACGTTCCTCATGATTGCCAAGCCGGATGTCGGCGTGTGCTCGTTCAGGAGGATCTTCCTGGGTCTGGGTATGTGCATCAGCTACGCCGCGCTGCTCACCAAAACTAACCGCATCTACCGGATCTTCGAGCAGGGAAAGAAGTCGGTGACGGCTCCCCGGCTGATCAGCCCCACCTCACAGTTGGCGATCACCTCCAGCCTCATCTCGGTCCAGCTCCTGGGGGTGTTCATCTGGTTTGTGGTGGATCCGCCCAACACCATCATCGACTACGACGAGCAGAAGACCTTCAACCCGGATCTAGCGCGAGGGGTGTTGAAATGTGACATCACGGATCTTCAGATTATCTGTTCATTGGGTTACAGTATCTTGCTGATGGTGACGTGTACTGTTTACGCCATAAAGACCCGCGGGGTCCCGGAGAATTTTAACGAGGCCAAACCCATCGGGTTCACCATGTACACCACCTGCATCGTCTGGCTGGCTTTTATACCTATCTTCTTTGGCACGGCGCAATCTGCAGAGAAGGTAAGAGCCAACGCATGAATGAGTGGAAGATATGTAGATGATGAACTGCAGGATGGATGAATGGATGATGGATACAACTGTTCATGTTCAGTGGAGAGCTCAGATTCACAGATTGCTCTTTATTGGGAACTGATCTGAAATCTGCACTGTTCAATATTATATGTTTTGTAAAGGCTGTTTTCCATCTGATCTGCTTGTTGTGACAACAGAAACCATTCAGATTTCAGTGAAGGAATTTACAGCTTTACAGTCAGTGAACTTTATCATAAAATATCATTATAAAATAAATAATAAAACCATCATGAGAGACTAAAGCTGCAATTACATATCGCCAACAAATCACAATACAGCAGAAATCCACACTGAGCTTTGCTGCATCGTTCCTGTGGACAAAAGCTTTATTATGAAACTCAGGTTGCAGTGAAACCACACAGAAATGAAAAAGTCGGATGTTCTTGTTCAGTTTTATACCTGCAGGAATGCAGTTTAATGTCGCTGACTGTTGTTTTTGGTTTATTATCAGACACAATGAAACTGAATTCAGTCACAGTGTTGAGGAAAGTTACAGGAGACTTGTTAGGAAAGTTTGGAAGGTCCTTACTTTAATTGTGTGACCTTTACGTCTTATCACGACTTTATGGAAACAGAATGAAATGATGTCTGCTGCTAATAAGCTATAAGCTAATGCGGGGGTGAATAATGATTAAGTGAGCTCTGTTGAACTGGTTTGTGTCCACAGATAACCTAGTTTATTTATTAGGAGGAAACCACAAATTCTTTTCAGCAGTCGTTACATGAATGTATTCAGGGCGTGTTATAAAGTCTAAAATTCAATTATATGAATTTAAAATGTCTTAAATCTGCTCTTAAAAATTGATTGGACTAATGCTATCGTTACTCATGTTGCGCTATAAGAATATGTATTGATCGCGCTGTAACTTTGTCTAAAAAAATCGTTTATTGAATGTGAGTTAAGTGTATCATTACATCCTCAAAACATAGCCTCTGGCTGCTAAATGTAGCTGCTGTTAGCTGGTTAGCCATCCACCGCTAGCACAGGAGCTATTATGGAAGCGCAGCCGCCTCAAGCTCCCAGTTCGTTAGCAGCAGTTAGTGATTAGCTAACAGCTCAGGTAAATGTCCGTCAGTAAACTCTGTATAAGGTCGGCCCAACCTCAAAATCCAAGATGGCTGCTTCAGACGTCAGTGAAGTGAAAGCTGTAATAATATTCAGTTTGTTGGACTCATTAAACACAGTAATGTCCAACTTCTGTCTGTGGACGTTTGTATGAGCAAAACACAGCGTAATGCTGTTTGCAGCTGGTATTGCTAACAGTGGCTAACGGCTAACCTGACTTGCTTTTCCAACTTTGGACCTCTGAGGTAAATAAACGTACTATTACAAGTAAGCTCAGTCACGCTTTGTCTGAATCAGATAAGAAAGAGTGACAGCGAATGGTCACGTAAAGTAGAACGAAGGTTGGAAACATCTGATTCTGAGCTTACGTTCACCTCATTATTTAACACCTCGAGTTTCAAACTAATGACAGAAAATGAGGAAAAGTATGAATGTTATTTACATTCATTAATACAGAGTCCCTCAGTGTGAGTATACACAGCTTTATGTAGGCGATCTGAGTGAGCTGATAAAATACATTTCCAGGATTTTTTGGTCATTTTATACATTTCTAGGTGTTTTCATGAACCCTGATTTACACTTCAAAGATCATAAATGTGTTTATTAGTGAAGATTATCTTACTGAACAAATCATAAACTATTGTTCTCCACAGAGATTATTTTCTGCAATAATCAGAAATCCAATGGAACAATCTCATCGGCTGTTTGTGAAGGAACCCAGACGATGCCTCAACAATACATCCTCACTGCAGCTCTGTATCAAACGGCTAAATACACAGACGTCTGAGTGAGAAAAACCATTACATTTGAACGTTTCGGTCATTGAATGCATCGCGTGTCAATGAAAGTTTTTCCGCTGCAAACTGTAAAAATCTGTCAGACACTGAATCAGGTCGACACACATTTCTGGAGCAGTGACCGTTAGCAGCAGAATTTAAACTGCATTTTGATTAAGTACAAATATCCGTCTGATACCTCGCAGTGACTGAAGTGTCGGTATAGAGCTGTAAACCGGCCACAGGCAGAGATTAAGAGGCTTCCCTGAGGAGGATATTTGTGTTATCGGCGGTCCAGGTGACAGCGTCCGGCTCTGGGGTTTGATCTTTGGCAGAGTCTCTGGAAGGACTAAGCCTCTCTGCTGGGCACTCAGCATTAAAGAGATGGATTGGGGTAAACCGGTGTCCTGTCCACAGGGATACACTTGTCCACCTAAACCGCTTCGGGCCACGGAGGCAGCTGATAAGCTCCCGACCTCTGAGCTGCTGTCAGTGCTCCGTTCATCAGCAAACTTTTATTATCAGCATCCAGATAGAAAAAGATTTGTATTGCTTCTAATGTGTTTTATTTCTGTGTTAAATCATCGACTGTCATCAGGTCCTCCGCTGTTTTACCTATACGCTAACATCCTGATCAATCCAAGTCATTTAATATTGATAATACAGCCAATACCAAGTCCTGATCCCATACTGTCCTACGCCTGCAACCATACTGCTCCAGTATCTGTCCAACAGGGACAGGAAGTCCTGTTTCAGGTATCTTCAGGTGTTCTTAAAGGTATTTTAGAGTTTCCTGATAATCAATAAAAGTATTTGTTGACTCATCCTGCACTCAGGGCGTTTACTAATGCTTCATCCAATCACACTGGTTTTCCCTCTGACGTCGTCCGGCTGCTCGGCTTCAACTCTCTGTGATTGACAGTTTCCTGATGGACAGATAGCTTTAGCTAAAGTAGCTAACCGCTAATTGCGACACAACCGGGCTCAGCAGCTGGACCGGGATCGAACACAGCCTCCGTTACACAGTTAAGACAACTTAAATGTTCATAATACATCATAGACGGTTTAAAAATTCACTCTCTTTTCCAAACAGTCCAACACAATGAAATAATAATCACTTTAATACAGATTAAAAACAATATTCTCCTCACTAAACTGCAGGAAGATGGAGACTTTGATGGGAAAAATAAAATGTGTTTCTGAATGTCCACATAAATAGGATGTAGGTGATTTCTGTTACAGTGAGGATGGGTAATGGAAGAGGACGATGAAAGCCTGTGCAGCAGCCGGCGGAGAGCAGGAGAACAGATCTGCAGATAAAGCCAGAAAGTACAGAGCGATCTGCAGTGTGGTAAATTGGGAGGCTGAGGAGAAAGGGGAAGAAAAGCACAGCGTGATCTGTGGTGGGAGGAAAAAGGAGAGGGTGAACAGAGGAGACAACAGAGAGGTGTATATATGTGAGAGGTGGTTTGGCTCCGAGGCTTTTTCCTCCAGCGCTGCAGGAGCTGCAGACTGAGAGCCAGTTCAAGGCTGCATCATTCAGACGTTAGCATCCAAAATCAATCAATAAAGTCATATTTCAAACACAACAACAACAGACATCTTTATTAACTGTACAATCTGTAATCAACTGTGAATGCTTTCATAAGGTTTCAAACCAAGGTCCGGTTAGCGTCTCCTTTTTAACACACGGTCAATGCTGTGAAACTGTTGCAGTTCAGTTCAATTAAAGGCAACAAAACTCCTCGTTTAGAGTCAGAAAATCTTCATGTTTGGGTTGAAATAAGTCCACAGGAAACAGGAAGCAGAGAGCTGTTAGCTTCCTCGTATTCACGTGTTTTTACTGTAAAAACAGGCAGTTAAAGAGCGACTAGCCAGCAGCCAATAGCACTGAATCAGCAGCTGTAACGGTTCTATTAGTGGACTCTGAAGGATCAATATACACATATATAATATACACATATATAATATACACACAACAGATAGATAGATAGATGTAACAGGAAGTCGGAGAGAAAGAAAACAGATGTTTGTGTTTGTACAGTGTGTGTGTGTGTGTGTGTGTGTGTGTGTGTGTGTGTGTGTGTGTGTCGCTGACTTTTTGG